TTATTTGTTATTGCCTATAGTAGTTAGCTAATTTCTTGTATTTTTTATATATTGTTTTTCCTAATTAATTTCTTATGTTTGTTTTTTTTTTTTCGTATGTTATATTCACTTATTGTGCACTCTTGTCATTTTAGGGTCGCCCGTTAGGGTGTGTTAGGGAGTGTTTCTATAAATAAATAAATAAAAATAAAACCTTTTATTGGTTTCCTTTAAGACACAATGCAAATTTGTTTTCCGCTCAAAATGATTTTTAGTTTCAATTTATTAGTATTCATTTCCTATTCAAATCAACAATAACAGAATAGTAGTAGCAATGTATATCCTAGTGCAGGTTGATAGGAAACTGGGGATTAAGGTTTGCAATTTGGTATTTGGTATGTGATTTATCTACAACTACATGCAAGTAATAATTAATAGTTTTTGTGTATCTACCTACCGTCAACTCAACTATATTGTCCAACTTAATCAGTATCGATAAAAAATCTTCGATTTTGACTACTATGCAAACAAGTTCCTATTATTATACATTTTAATAAACATTTACTACGCAGTATTGTTTTTATTATTACTTAGCCATCTCTGCATTAATTTAATTGATATTTTTAATTAATCAGCCTACACACCTAATTTTTACAATACAATGTTTTCCTTCACCATACTAGATTGTGTTAATTACTTATAAAGCACGCTTAAATAACTTCTATAATAATATATTCACAGACTTATACCACAGATAGCGGAAGCGCACTCAAAGCTCCACAGATAACGGAGATGCCGGCTTTCAAATTAAGCGCTATAATCGGAAAAACATATTCAATTCAATTTTCGAATGATTTACCGTTGTAAATGATACATAGAATGGCGGAAATCAACGGGTAGTTGCATAGGGATTAATTGATGCGGGTTGAATAATGACGTGATGTCCGTACCACGATTTCGTATCCGGCTAATTTGACGGACCAGATAAAGCATTATTAAATGAACGTCGATTTCAGCTGTTTTCATTAATTATGTTGTAATATAAATTATATACATTTATTTTTTGTTATGTATATTTATTACATAGTAAACTTAGGAAAATGTTTATTCTAAGTTTGTGTCTAATGTAATCTTTGAGTTAAAGACACATGTAGCTGTTTTGTTAGTTGGTGATTTCTACTGTTTCTTTGTTTATTTTTTTTCAAAAATCTATTTTTTCATTCAAGTCTATTCTTCCTTTTTTTTATCTTATAAATCGATAAAAAGTCCTGAAATAGAAAAAATAGAAAATTATTATTCATTTCAAATCAATGGATGAATTGTATAGTCTGGCTATATTGTATAGTAATGGCTTTGTGTAAAGGATTGAAATAATTTGCTACGTATAAAATATATTAACCTTTTTACAAAAGTAATTTCGCACATATTAAATATATCAGCTCCAATTAATATTAGGCTCGAAATCCAATCTAAATTCTACAAATCGATTTTATTTATAAATCAACTAACATTTCGAGAAGTTATTTGTAGTTGAGCATCATCTTTGAACGTCAAGACAGAATATGACGTTTTTAAGACACAATTTTTTGCGCTCCATTTTTATTAAAAAGCTCATCGTTGAATGTTCGAACCAGTACGTCTTTTGAGAACGGAGCGTAAAAATGTATGAGCAAATGAGCCTCCTGCCCGTTTGCCCCCTATTCTATAAAAAAAAGAAAAAAAAAATCTTAAAAGACCGGCAACGCACTCTATTTTTGACAGTGTCTACGGGGCTCTTATTCGATTGCTATCTATTCTATAAAAAACTATTACGTCGTAATAAGATGAAATTAATTGTGATGTCCATTCATCGATTTTTCCTCATATTTTTCTTTATTTAAATTGTCACTTGATTATGGATAATTAATTGATGAATCAGAAAGTAACCTAATTAACACGAGTATTTACGTGCTAATAATATGTGATATAATGCGTGATAGCTGATATTTGCAAAAAAGTTGAAAACGATCATAAATCCATACATTAGGTTCTTGCATTAGGCCAATTTGCCGAAAACATTCAGCTGTCCGAATTTCGGCCACAAGGCCATTAATCGTTCCGATGTCACAGTATGGGACATTTAGTGTGACCCTTTTTAAGCGCAACCTTTTCCATTCACTCCTAATCACCGTACAAATAAAATAAAAAATCCAAACGGATTTCCTAACTTCATAAACCATTTTTTAAGATCTTTCGAGTTTATAATTCAAATTGTAATACCCGTTCTGACCAAAACAATACTTAAACAACATAACTGTGGTTCTAGAAATTTTAATATTTACCTTTCAAAGCTATAAAGGTTAGAATTAAGAAAATACACAAATATAAGTAAAAAAAATATATTAAGGTCAAATGAAGTTCGTGGGGGCAGCTTAGAATATAATAAAATATAAACATTTGAATTTTAGTAACAAATAAATTCAACTGGACCGAATTAAAGAACTCTTTACCCATTACAATGCTTCATTATCCCCTAGTAACATAGTCTATATTTAAAGAAAACACTTTTTAACCGGATTGAAGTTATGTATTATTATAAATTTACAATTATTTTACATAATTTTAAATTTAACCGACACGCGACAAGCACGCGAAACGTGCTTTACAGCGTGCGTGGTCACGGTGACTGAAGACAAAAGGTGTTGAATGTCAAAAAGAAACAATCCGGCTAAAAAGTGTTTTCTTTAAATGTAAAGTATAGACAATACTATAGTCTATATTTATTTCCAATTATTTTAATTACGTCACACTCACTCCGTTGGTTCTGCGAACCAAAAAGTGTCTTGCCCTCGGGGACACTTCTAGCGCTCTCTGTCCTGTGCCACCCGCAAATTGCTGGCTTTCAGTTGCGGTTCATGGCCCATGCGCTCATATTAGGGCGCCAACGTAGCCGATGAGCCTTTTATTACGTCAGCTAGTTTAAAAAGTATGATGATGTTTAAAAATTTGTTAACCACATATAACAGTGCACACGTAACTCCAAACCTCAATTATATATTGAATTTAAACGACATTTTGCAGTCAGTCCATTATATCTTTAGATCACGTATCAATGAAAATGCTGATCACACGCGGACCAAAATGTAAATTAGAGCGAGATAATTATGTGATGCTGTGTACGGACCAATAATTATTGTTTGCGAACCGCGGCGTGTTGATCTTGATGCCTATTTAATATGCGGCGGTTAGAGTATATTGACATAACTATTTAGTTATTTAACTAGCTAAACTTCTATTTAAATTACATACAATAATTACAAAACTAATTTTGATTTAAAAACCAACATCAGTAGCCATACAGCCTTAAAAGTCTTGGTCTTTAATAATTCTTAGACAAGTAGGTGATAGGTAGGCCTTCTGTGCCCGACACATGCAGCCGACTTTTTATAGTAGGTAAGGCATGCCGTTTCATGATGGTTTCCTTCACCTCTCACGGCAAGTGTTAGTCCATGGTCCACGCACGAACTCCGGGCCGAGGCACACGCTCAAGGCACGCACGGCCAATTCGCACGCACATTTCTTTTTTAATTTTGTCATACTATCTATGTGTATATTATTTTAAAAAAATTGTTCTGTTTCACAAATTTGAAAATATAGTTTTAATTTAATCAAGTTTTTACTAATTATAACCGCAAAATAATATTTTTTACCAGAGTTTAATTAACGAAATCATTACCGTTTCATAACACAAAATTCATCTGAAATAATTGTAGGTTTGTGAAAATCAAACGCATTATTCTGTTAAAAGCATTTTAAATGTCACTGTTGTATGACTCAGAGTCAGTTATTTAGAGTAGCCGTTTACTTAACCTATTCAGTAAAGCCTTAAATAAGTTTCATGTTTCCTCTTAATCATCTTTAACTAAATGGGTAGTAAATTTCATGCGACATTTTACTAAGAATTATTATTAATCTACTAAAAGAAATTAATTTATTGGACTACTTTAAGGCTGTGTGAGTGATAAAACGTTGAAGTAAAAAGACGAAAAATAAAAAAATATTTCTGAATTTCCATCTAGATTCTATAATAATGTAAAAGTTGATTAAAGTAGAAAGCTTTGCAATGGGATTGTGGCAAGTGGATGGGAAATTCAAAGAGGCGTGAGTACATGTGTTTTCATGGAATTTTCCAATGCTTCCAGCTAAAGTCATCAATAGGACTGTAATAATAATTGATGATAACACATGTACATTTGCGAACCGTATACAATTACCACCATGTTTATTTTGAACACGAAAATTAATTTAATTTCTACACCCATTGAATAAGGCCAGGTGTATGTAATGTGGGTGTGGTATTTTCAAGAGGTTAGAATCGTAGTAGTGCCCTGATGATTTTTCTATATGCAATAACATTTGCATGTAGGCGAAGATAGTGTGACTTACGTATCTTAGACCCAAATAGATATGTATTTTACCTATGAATTAAAATGATCAATTAAACAGACCCAAAATGCGTCTCTGGTTATGGGACTAATTATAAGATGTATAATCCGATAACTATTAAGCGTGATAACATAAATAAATCAATTGTACTAGAACCTTTTTAGATCTGGGCCTCACAATTCTGTTATTCCATTAGATTAATTTGTTAAGCTAATAGACAAGTAGGTGATCAGCCTTTGGTGCCTGACGCACGCCGTCGACTTTTTGGGTATAAGGCAAGCTGGTTTCCTTACGATGTTTTCCTTCACCGTTCGAGCGAACGTTATATTAAAATAGAAAGTACATTGGTTCACAGCTGGGCATCGAACCTACGAACACTGCTCAATTAAATCATTAAACAATACGAGATATATTAATTTATCGAACGAAAAAAACATTTTAAATAACGAAGCTATAATTAAAGAACATAATTCTTGCAAAGTTATACAAAAGCAGCTGTACACGTTCACAAAACAGTTGCAATTGAACACATTAATAGTAGGTTTATTGCAAAGCGCAGTGCTGATATTAAAGTGATAACTTAGGGTGTATTGCAGGTCAGCTTCAAGGCCCGGGATATAGCGAGCCAGAGCCAGAGTTTCTCGCCCCGCTGGATAATATTACTGTCGCTATGGGACGTGACGTGCGCTTCACCTGTACTGTCAATCATTTGGGCACTTACAAGGTAATTTATTAATATTATATACAGTTTTTGAACTCGCTCTTACGTTCTGCTGGTTCAAATTGATTCTGTTTGAGTTGGCTAATCCTTAATGAAGAAGCTATATTAATCGCAACTTAAATAATTATTTTGTTTAATTAAATATATAATTAATTTGAAACATAAAAAACATAATACTAAAATAATATACATTGAAATAAATAACTAACCTTAACATAAACTAAAATATATTATTAAAAGGAGTCCCTTTAGGCAAGGTTCCGAAGATACTGGCAGCGTTCCCCCTTTGAATCGGTAGACTAATTCTTTGTCCGAGGTAGCTGCCAGATCTTCGGTCTTCTGTGATGTCGACTAACCTTTTTGAAATTTCCTTAAAAAACTTAACTTATATTTAAGTTGCGATTAACTTTATTTATTTGTTTTTGTCTTGAAACTATGAGTGATTATTTTTATATGTATGTTTTTGTATAAGGAAGTGTAAATTTAACTAGTTTGCTTCATTTCAATAATTTTACAATATTTTTTTTTTATATATTAGTGCCTTTTATATAATATTTAATATATAATTCTTTATAATCTTAAAAAGTTATTATAAGTTATTACAACAGTTTATTATTTATTGCCCCATGTTCTGTAAAAAAAATATACGGTTTAAGCCTAAATTAATCAGGTAGTAATTTAGCTTTAATATAATATTTAAGGGTAATGTTTACGTAAAACTTTGCGCCATTGTGACACAATACAATATGTAGTCGCGAACAAAGCCATTGACTTCTCTTAGTTGGAAACTAGCTCTGTCACACTAGTCGATAAAAACTTCGTCTCTTGAAGTCCACTCCTTTTTTCTGGCTACAACTTTAGTATTGATTATTTACAAAATCTATACAAAAATTAAGCGCCGTAATGCATAATTTCTAAGCCACTCCGTTATTTGAGCTGTAGTAAGGAAAATTATTTAAAAAAATCAAAACCACGCTATGCAATAAATTATAACATATAACTTACTACTCAACTGTAAATTCAAATACATATTAATTGAACAGTATCTAAGGTTAGTCAAAGTAGAATGGTATATATAGTATGGCAATGGACAGACAAGATGGCGACATTTGTAGGAGGGCTTGTGCTTTTTGAGAGACAAGTTAATAGTAAATAATGTATAAAGTAAAAACCTTTCTAGACAAAGTAAAGTATGGCTTCTTGTATTAATCTACATTAGCTATAGAGCCTATATTCTATTTATAATCTATATATTAATAACTTAATATAATACGCACGTTTTACTTAAATTTAAAATAAGTAGTAACTGATCGATTATTTTGTAGGTGGCCTGGTTAAAATCGGACACAAAGGCCATTCTAGCGATGAATACTCATATGGTGAACATCGATTCTCGCCTGTCAGTCACACACAACGGACACAACACTTGGAAGCTGTATATAAGTAGCGTCGAGCCCAAGGACTCGGGGACTTATATGTGTCAAATCAACACAATTCCAATGAAGAGTCAGGTATGTGAAATTAACTACTTACCCGGCTGTTCGTTTAAAATAAATAAAATGAAATATGTTTATTATGGAACATAAGATACAGGTATCACTTATTCCACGTCATTAAATTTGAAACTGCAGGCATCCCTACTCATCGGCAAAGATGACAGAGGGTGTAGGCCGAGAGAAAAAGCCGGCGTAAAAAACTCTCGGCACACTTTTAAAATAGCAAATCATCAAACAACACTTATTTTTAAACAAATATCGCAAATTAATTAGCAGTAGCCTGTCTAGCACTAGTCCCAGGCCCTTTTATCAACTAGATAATCGTTAACTTTATAGTAAGCCTTTTTATACAGCTTTTCTTTAATACATTTCTTAAATTTATTAAAAGGCAGAGATAAAAGAGCCTCTGGGATTTTATTAAAGAGTATCCCTTTTCCCAAAAAGAGTTACTAACTTTAGATAGTCTAGTACGGGGAAATTGCAGCCTGCGTTTCTAGTAAACTTATCACTATTTTTATATACATACATAATATTTTATCCTCTTCTGCAGGATGAAAATAATTTGCCTTCTGTCCCAAGATTTTTTGGTTTTAATTTTGCCACACAACTAACGCACCCGTTTGTTTGTCTTGCTTACAATTACCGTTATATTCCAACCAATTTACCCAAAAGAATGTTCTACGGTGAAAATCGCATGAAAATCCGTGCAGTAGTGTTTATGTTTATCGTGAATACACAGATGCGGCGGACATTTTAAATATGTAGCAAGACCCATTCAGGGTTTGAATGAAAGTCTATCATTGAAGTAGTCGATAAACGTAGATATTTTTTATATTCAATCTGAAATGTTAAAAGCTTTTTAATACAAGGTAAGACTAGTAAAAGTCTTGGAGGAGGCTTTTTGTATTTCATTTCTCTATGCTAATGCAATTGTTCGATGTCGAGCTGGCGGAGAATTGTCGAGGCACTTCTGATGATTGTCGATACTGTTAGCAATTTAAAATGATGCATCGCTAATTTTGCACAGCTTATACGCGAGAATTATTTAAAATTTATACCATGGGAGCAGTGGCGTAACAATAGGGTGGCAGGGCTAGCAAGAGATATTATGTTCTATGGATGAATGTGAAGTCTCCAATACGCCTTGGGCTAGCATAGGGACTACAGACCATTCCCTCTCGCCTAAGAGAGGAGGCCTATGGCCATTAGTGGGTCATATACAACGTGTAATTGAGTACTCCGAAAATCTCGAAGTTCGATTTTTACTGATAGGGCCCCAGATGGTATAGTTACGCCACTGAGTGGGAGTTCTGTTTAAAAGGTACCATTAATAAAAGTTGACCTATAAGAGACATTTCGTACTAATTCTTAAAAGGAAACGCACTTGTGAGCCTTCACGGGCATGGACGGTATCAGTTACAGATGAGCCTCCTGCCCGTTAGACCACTGTTCTATAAAATGTAGGATAATAAAAATATATGAAATGTTTCGTAAAAATCATATATTAGGAATGACTATGACAATTATATGGTCTCACTGTTATTCTATTTGTGTCTGATTCACAGGAATAACTGGATATATAACGAGCTTCATTATCAGTTACCATAAGTTTCTATAAAATGTTATATACTGCTCAAAACAATTAGCGGAACAAGATTTTTCTCCTTTCTATTGCTTAAACTAAAATTAGATTTAAATTAACTTGTACGCTATTTTTTACCTTGTTAATTTGTTAATTACTACAATTAATAAAAAATTCAATTTGTATTTTTTTTATTAAAAAAAAATTAAAATGTGCATTGTAGACGAAAAACAAAGTGACGTCTTTGAATTTTTATTACTTTCTAATCACAGAAAACACATTTTAAGTAGTTTTTTTCAATCTTTTGAGTATTAATAGAAATTGAAGTGAGCCTTTTGAGTATTGTTATTCATTGAAGCGAGTGAGTTTAGGTCCCAGATCTGACTGAATTGCATGTCTCCCGAGCTATCGCTTTGCTCGAAGAGGGTCGAACTATGCGTTATGTAGGAAATGATCTAGGAGTAGCCCCTTCTGTTATCTACAGACTTTGGAAGCGATACCGTGAGACGGGAGAATACTCACGAAGGTGTGGTCAAGGTCGAAAGAGAAAAACTACACGTTTGCAAGATCGCTACATCGTCAACTATGCTTTACGTAACCGCACCACAACTGCAAGAGATCTACAAAATACACTAAGGACGGCTACTGGTGTAGAAATTTCCGACCAGACGGTAAGAAATAGGTTGTTGGAAGCCAATTTGAGATCACGCCGACCAGTTCGGGCTGTGCGTCTAACAATTCAACATAGACAAGCTCGCCGACAGTTCGCGCAAAATCACGCTAATTGGCAACTTCGACATTGGAGGCCAGTGCTTTTTACTGACGAATCACGATTCCGTCTAACACGTTGCGATGGTCGTCTCCGTGTTTACAGACGCCCAGGCGAGCGATACAGTGCAGCAGCAGTCCAGGAATATGACAAATTTGGATGTGGCTCTGTGATGGTTTGGGGCGGAGTTAGTTTGGACGGGCGCACAGATCTCGTCGTTGTTCCCGGGCGCTTGTGTGCTCAAACTTACATTGAAAATGTGCTCGAAGATCATGTTTGGGCCGCAGCATATGGTATGGGCCCAGATTTTCTTTTAATGCAAGATAATGCCAGGCCGCATACTGCAGCCATCACGTCAGATTACTTACGACAGCAGGAAATCCGTGTAATGGTGTGGCCGTCCATGAGCCCTGACCTAAATCCAATTGAACACATTTGGGACTTGCTTGACAGGCGCATCCCGAAGCGTCCGATTGCACCTCAAACACTGCAGCAGCTCACTGAAGCGTTGATTGAAGAATGGGAGCGAATTCCACAAGAAGATATTCGGAGGATCATACGAAGCATGCCGCGTCGTTGTCAAGCCGTGATTAGGGCTCATGGAGGCCACACACGTTACTGAAAGTCACTAAAGACGAATATTCAAACGATATAAGAATATTTCTTTGATGGACCTTTTTTATCACCAATGCACATTTTAATTTTTTTTTAATAAAAAAAATACAAATTGATTTTTTTTATTAGTTGTAGTTATTAACAAATTAACAAGGTAAAATATTTTTACGCTATTGCGTACAAGTTAATTTAAATCTAATTTTAGTTTAAGCAATAGAAAGGAGAAAAATCTTGTTCCGCTAATTGTTTGGAGCAGTATATTTATTAGGTTTTTTTTTCTATATTTACGATGATTAGCAAAGGGAAATTCTTTACGCGAGTAAAGGTTATTAGCTACTTCCAGTTTCTCGGCATCACTAGAAAGCTAATTATATTAAAATTTATGCAATATAGACGACTCGACGCTGCCTTAGATTTTAATATTCAGTTTTATATTATCGATTCATTCGCTGGATACAAGACGCTCAATATAAGGAAACGTTGATTTTATACTAACGTTGTTCAAAAACGTGACTGTAATTGTATTCACTAAACACTGGTATATGGAAGATTATGAAATTTTCCCAAATTTGCATTTAACATATAGGTTATATAAAAATATTTTCATAAGTTAACTCTACCTTATATCAAACCATTAAAAAATCAGTGGCGTCTATCTAATAGGAATGTAGGTGATCAGCCTCCTGTGCCTGACACACTTTTTGGGTGTAAGGCAAGCCAGGCAAGATGTTTTCCTTCACCGTTCGAGGGAATCTTAAATGCGCACATAGAAAAAAAACGTCCATTGGTGCACAGCCGGGGATCGAACCTACGACCTCAGTGATGAAAGCCGCACGCTGAAGCCATTAGACCAACACTGTACTGTATTTATTATATAATATATATAGACTTTTTTTCAACATTAGACATATTCAATTCCCCTCGCATCTCTTTCAAAGATTAAAGCACCAACATTTAAAGACTTTTAAGGTTACAAAATGTTTTCACACAGGCTTTAGTTACACACACACCCTTCACGCATTCTCACTGTATCTATGTTATTGTTTAGTCTACAAACATTTTAATTGGCATTTCGATTTACAAATTATTGTGTTAAGGGTTTTCTAAATAAATAATAAGGTTGAAGAACGACTTTTAGTCTATTTTCTTTTAACGAATAATAAACAAAAAACAGTGTATTTTTTGTATAACGTGGTGTAATAATATAGTCTGTGTCAAGCCGTATTAAAACGTCAATCAAACAAATCTAGCATCATAACCTGTCATTTTAGATTTCGATTTTAGATAGGCCTAAATAAAGACATTCGCGCGAAAAGAAATGTACATGACTTTGACAATGTCATGTTAACTTTTCCATATTCTGTAACAGCTATTAAGAGAAAACATTTTACACAAATCTCACGCTAAATTTCAAGCATCAAAAAGTTTTATGCAAAATACTACTTTGATATCACTTTACGTGTGGAAGTACAAAGAAACATGCATTTTGTGCGACTTGTTATTTAGAAATTCCGAATGTAGGGCAAAATGAATTGTGAGCCTTGAAAAAAATATTTTTGCTTTTTACCGCCTTTTTGCGATATCAGTTTATGCGTGAAATTTATTTTTTATAAAGAATTATCATTCGGGCATCAGCCTTAAACTAAATTAATAATGAAACTATTTTTTAATTTGCCTTTTCACTGAGACATCAGTGGACATTGTAATGTCCAATAATCGTAAATTGTAATCTAGACTAATAGGTAATTTAAGTCTTATCTTTATTGAGTAATAATAGTACGAATCCGTGAGGATTGGTGCTCATGACTATTTGTTTAAAACCAAATTTTATGTTTTTATAATTAAGAGAATATATATTTACTAGGGTGCCTATCAAAATTTGGCCGCCATTATTTTTAATTAAATTATTTTTAATTGATTTTTGGTAAAAAATTGGTTCATTTATTATTTAAATAAAATAACGTCTACATCACGGTAATTAATATGAAGATTCTAAAAAATCAGGGTGCCGTTGCGCACATGGCGACCTCTTTGTAGCCAGGTGTAAACAGGTATGATTTCGATAAATTTAAGTTTATAACCTATTTTTATTAATTATATGTCAAATTGAAGCTAATTTTTTCTTTTAATTATCATATAAAGTTGCTTAATTAAATCTGGCCGCAAATAAGGGCTACTGGCTGTTAAAGATAATAAATATTTAAGGTAGAGTGAAAGAGAGTTAGCGGTAACATATTTGTAGACGAGGAAGGATTGTGTGGCTTTTAGCTTGGATGGTCGAAGTTAGTGTTCTCAACCACCGGGGAGTAATAGAGACGACTTATAATAAATACTCCAAAAAATATGAATTTTTTTTTTCAAAATGACAAATTTAAAAATTGCAACAAATTCAGCCCAGAATGGTGGCTGGTATAGATGGTTTTTTAAAACCAACATGGTTCCTGGAACTCAACTCCAACGCAAGTTAATAGTGTGTATGTGAATCCATGAACAAAGCTTCCGAAACGACGATTCTGATATTTGTAGGATGAAAGTGAAGTGATGATAGTAAAAGAAGCTCGATGATTAGATTTTTAAAAAGAGTTACGGAAATATAAGAGTTATAAGATTAATTTTTTAATTTTTTAATTTGCTTAAATGTTTAATTAATATGTAATAGACAATCAATTACTTGAATAAAATCTAATAAAATTTTTAAATAATACTTTCGCAATAAAATTTTCTTTTACTTAAGTCACCTTGGTTTTATTTTTTTATTTTTAAATTCATATTAAATATCGACGTTCTAATTAGCAAATTATCTAACTCCATTTTAGAGAATCTTTTATTTGTACGAAAAAAACAATGACTTCAAAATTTATTATCATTTTAAAAAACCATTTAATATCATTAATATCTAATAGAGATATAATTTTTAAGTTTGAATCATTCAAATAATTTGTAATTGGATTATTCTTCATCAAAATGTTAAAAAAATCACCCTCTAAAAATAAGGAGTTAGACAAATT